AAAACATGATAATGATAAAGTTAGTAGCAATCAGACTAGATTATTTGTATCAAGAATGAACTCAATGATAAAACATGATAATGATAAAGTTAGTAGCAATCAGACTAGATTATTTGTATCAAGAATGAACTCAATGATAAAACATGATAATGATAAAGTTAGTAGCAATCAAACTAGATTATTTGTATCAAGACTGAACTCAATGATAAAACATGATAATGATAAAATTAGATCGTTGTTGTTCATTAACTTACGAAACACTTGTCAATGTTCTACACCTGTCATTTTTCAACAGTTTAAAATATGAGATCTAAATAATAGTTTAGGTATTATCAGAAATATATATATATTAAAACATGAAACGGGCAGTACTAAATATAGCATGTTCAAATCCAAATACGTGTCTACTTACTAGCAATAAGTAGCATTTATTGCCACAGCAAGAAGGTACTTTTTTTTTATTGTACGCCATCAGAACTTTAATAGCACCTACTTATGCCACGTGAATTATGTATTAACTAATTTATCCTTGGAAAATTGTTTCTTTACATATACACAGTATATAAAGCACTGAAGCTAGGGATGTCTATGGATAATTATAATCCACTTTCAAAAACACGTATCAAGATACACTGGAAGTGACACTGATACGCATTGCGATACATACTGATGCTTCTTTTTAAAGGTCAAAGAATAATTCACCCCAAAAAGGGCACCCAATCAGCAAGTAATATTTTTTTTATTAAGTTTAGTGAAGTGAAACCACACTTTGGACTAAATGACGCGAAGGTCTTCTTGACGTGGTAATGTGGAAAACTCAAAATTGTAAAGAAAGGAAAAGAATTTAATAGTCACATCTTTAAAGTTTGGCAAATTTTGCACTCGTGAAATTTACTTTTATGATCGTATAATATTGTTGTTGTATTATCATAAAAGTGATAAAGTAAAATAAACTGCAATATACTTGCAATAAGCTTGGTTCATTGGCTAACCAAGGCCATGCCTGGTCGAGCACGTGCCTGAGTGAGAAGTGATAAATTGTGTAAGCGCAAAAATCTAGTTTCTTGCAGTAAGGGTGATACAAAGTGTGTAAAGGGGACATAATAAAGATCGATCTGATCTGACGGAGTCACACATTAGTAAGGAATTAGATATACTATTTACTTCGTGATACCGCGTGTTTTCCAACCCCTTTAGCTGATATGTAAGTTATTTGAAACTTTTCTTTCAGTTCAGTTTGGACACAGAAAGTAGCTGAAGTAATCATATCTAACTTTTCCTGATTTAAGCTCTTCCTGGGACCTACTTCATTAATTGGCAATTAACCATTTTTTTTTCAGGAAGGATAGCTTATGATGTCCCAGAGTATGAGGCTGTCTTTTCTGTTGGCGAATCGGATAGTGGGCAGAGACTGCCACGCCCTTGCGCTTGAATCACAATGAACAAAGGTCACGTGCACGATGAGCGTTTCGGGAGCAACCTGACTTGGTTATTGTATTAATTTTATATTATGAATTAATTTCGCGCAAAGCTACACTATCTGCACTAAATATAATTTATCAGTGAAAGACTAGAGGGAATGCAGCTACTCATAACCACCCACCACAAACTTTTGGGCTACTCTTTTACTAACGAATAGTGGGATTAACTATCACATAATCACCTCCCACGATCATGTTTGGTGGGACGGGGATTCTTACTCGCGACCCTCAGATTGCGAGTCAAGCGCCCTAACCACCTGGCTATGCCGGGTCCTATTGTATTAATACTCAAAGCCAGATACTTCTCTGTAATTTAACTTTTAGTAGAGTAAGATATACTGTCATTTTGTGGAAAGATGTCATATATTTTATTACAACATTAACTTTCGATCTTGCTTTTTCGAGACCTCGAAAATGTAAAGATTTTTCACTTTAAGTTTATTTTGTTTGAGCTTGCCTTATGGGATTGCTCACACTCGATGGGTGAGAGACAGCTCACCAAGGTTTTACTTCATCTCTCTCTCTCTCTATTGCTAGTTCAACGCACCCAGTACAGCCACTTTCCCCTTGTTTTGTTAAAGTGAACTTGTAAAATATACTAGTCTGTATATTTGAGACAGTCAAGGAAAATAACCTATCTAGTATATACAGCCCCCAGTGACTCAGTGGTAAGTCTGAGGGGCTATAACGCCAAAAATCGGGTTTCGATACCTGTGGTAGGTAGAGCAGAGGTAGCCCATTGTGTAGCTTTGTGCTTGCCTAGAAATAAACGAAATCTACAAGTACATGCATAAGATAGATCTTTTCATACACACAAGACAGTTAAAAGAGAGGGCTAATTTTATAATAAAATTATCGCTTGTGGTATATAGGTTTGTTTGTTTCTTCTCATTGTTTGTAGTTAAGCACAAAGCTACACAGTGGGCTATTTGTGCTGTGACCACCCTGGGCATCGAACCTCGATATTTAGAGTTATGAGTCTGTAGGTTTACCCCTGAGCAACGTAGGGCATGTTTGTACAATAAAATACATGTATGTATGTATATAAATTACTCGAGAAACGATATAAAGTTTTGTTCACGACCAGATGACAAACTCTAAGTTGGTAGAAAAACACTTAAATAACTTGAGGGCTAAAAGGCATCAAACTAAACCTAGAGTTCATTAAAACTCCTCATTTTAAACTGATTTAGTGTAAAGTGACTTATCCATGTAATAGTCCTGTGGTTTTCAAACTTTAATAACCCAAAGATCCCTTTTTGTTCCAATTTTTTCGAGGACTCCCAACCCTATCGATGTTTTTTGTTTTGAAAAAAAAAAGATGCTGGTACATGAAAAGCTGTATTTGAAAACTAAATGTTTTAATTCTTATAAATTCAATTTTAAGAAAAACATTTTTTTTATTCTATAAACCACTTTTAATTTTTTATGAAATTTTGAACATGACTCACGGTCCCCTTGGAGTACACTCGTGAACCCTGATTTGGGAAATGTTGAAATGGTCATTTACAGAGGCATAGGGGCCGGGGATGCTGTACCACCCCCACTTTTACATATTTCACTTATTTTGCAACTGTAAATCATATTGCAACTTTTTCCTACACCACATCAGGCCAGGTGGTTAGGTGGTTAGATGGCTCGACTCGCAATGTGTGGGTCGCGGGTTCGAATCCCCCGTCACATCAAACATGCTCACCCTTTCAGGGGGGCGTTATAATGTGACGGTCAACCCCACTATTCGTTTGTAAAAGAGTTGGCTGTAGGTGGAG